ACATACAAACAGACATTCAGCTTTATATATAAGATAACTAACAATTTTGATCTCGTATAATTAACATTCGTTATTGATTTCTTCTGCTTTAGTATGACCGAAAGCTGCGAACTGGCGGCAGCACATCTCAACATGGCCGAAACCCTCCTGTTCAGCGAAGTTCGCTCGACAACAGGTTTGGACCCAAAGGTGGAGATCGCCGATCCATTGCAGCTTCCAAGTCCAAGCAAGCCCCATCAAGCGTTCAGCCTAAGAACGTTAGTTTGTTATTGAAGGTAAGCTTAATTACTACGGTTCTCGAAAAACAACTCAGTGCCGGTTTCCAGGGTGATAACTCATTAGGAGCTACCAGGAAAACATGGCACCAAGGAGCTGGCGGTGGTGGAACTACCGCAACGGAAACCACGAAAGCTGGCTGGCAAAAAGGCGCTAGAGATGAAGCACAACGAAAGGTAAGTTACAATGCGGAAAATGAGAGTAACAGTCTAAAAATAAAAGGTTTTGAAGCATTCAGTTCCGGCATCACTATCGTTTGCAAACTTCGGTGGAAAAAAATATGAGAAAGTTGGCATTGGATTATTGGAATCGATGGATACTAGTCTCTTGTGGTTGCACTATTTTCTAAATTATTCATTTTAGAACTCCAGAGACGTTACCGACGAACGAGCTGCATCGTTGGCAGCAGCAAAGACGATTTGTTCTGGCAAAACCGAGTCTACGCCGGTGAGTCCTTTGAGTCATTCTGTTTCCAACATTTTCTCATTCAAGTCTCTCTTTTCTTTTTTGCTAACTGTTTTGCACTAGCAACCGTTTTGAAGTTTATTTACGCTTTGTACTGATTCTTCTCATATGTTTGATATAAAGGCTGCTGCATGACGAAGGCGCAGGAGCAGTATTAGTTAAGCGGTCGCGAGTGCGGAGCGCGCGTATCTTCACCGCTGTAAATCCTGCGCCTCATGCGCTCCGCGGTTAATAAATTCTCATAAATCCTTGCTTCTTTTCCTAATATACAGCAAAGCTTAGTCCTCTCAAATTCTCTGCTTCTTCAGGAAACTGACTCGGAAGAGGTGAAAGCTGCTCTTGAAGAAAAGTATCAGAAAATTGGTAAGGAGGTCGGAGCGATTCTGGAAAGTTATGATGAAGGCGACCTGAAAATTGAAGAAGTATGTATCAGTGTTTTTTTCCTTCATTCTACAACTTCACACAACTCTGAGTTACAGTGCGTCCAAGAAATATTCAAAATTGCTTCATCTGAGAAGTTTGGATGCCCGAACATTAATGAAATTTTCTTCCGGTTTACGGAATATGCTGTCGAAAAGGTACACAGTTATTTCCCTTCCTATAAATCGCTAATCATATCATCCCTCTCATAGGTCCGGAAACCTCAACTTCCCAAACTTGGAAACATGCTTTGTCTCGCATTGCAAGACGAAGAGAAAAAGCCTGAAGCCTTGGCAGGGTGGGTATAGATTTTTCACCTTAATTATTTGTTACATGGCGAAAACTTGATTTTTAGAATGTCGCGATATTGTACATTGGCTGTCGAGGCTGAAATGTGGATGGATATTCCTGATATTTGGGGTAAATTAGCTGAGGTGCGTTAACATGTAAGACGTCGGTTGTGTGGATATATTGTTTCTGTTCTAGTTACTTGTGAATGCCGTATACTGTGATTCGAATCTAATATCTGGCTCTCGACCGTCGTTCAAAGACTTCACGAACGTGTTCTTGGAAGCATCAAAAGATGACCGAAAGGACAAGTCGTTTGAATTACTCGTTCTATCACTGAAGAGAATGGTTAGTTGTTCACTTTTTGTAAAATTTTCTTATTAGTTTTTTCTTGTTCATTACGATTTCACTTCATTCTTTCCTTCCATCTGTTTTTGAACTTTTACATCTAAAAAGTTTGTCAAAATTGGTCGCTTGGTTTCCCTCGCTCTTGGGCTAAAACACGCTAATTTTCGTGTAATTCGTGGTGATGAGCACGTC